ATTTACATTTGAAGCATACTTTGAGTAGGGCTGTGGATAGATTTATAAGTATGTTGAAAGAGAATTCGCATATGTCCGTCTGTACATATATTTATAAGAAAATGCTTTTTCACTATTGAACATTTGGAGTTTTTAACCCTGTGAATGTCACGTGAGGTTATCTGAGGAGAGAAGTCTTTGAAGGTGGTAAAGTGATGGAGATAAAGTAGTAAAAAATGGAGAGGACCAGAAGGAGGCACAGCCAGAGTGCCTTAGGTACGACTCATGTATGACTTGTAGGAAAGTAACAAACAGGGAAGTGTCTTCAAATGATAGACTCAATTACTTTCCATCTTTTGGTATCCCTTGAGAGATTTTTCATAAGGCATTCATGTTGATAGGGTGTTGACCGTTCTTTCGTCCTTATGACCTTTCCTTTCCAGCTGGTGTGGCTCTTTTTCTCTGAAGGAAGTGTGTTTTGCCATAGCCAGTTCACATGATAAATGATAACATGTCTATGCAAAATGCATGACTTGGAAACACCAGAGAAAATACTAACATAAGGATTCCGTTATATGATAAAAACTTGTTGAGTACCTCATATGTGACGGGAACTTTGCTAAGGGCGAGGGGCACAAAGATGCAAAAGGCAGAAGTCCCTGACATAATGGTGAAGGGCAACAGCTGAGAAGTGAAAGAATAAAATGTTTATGGACTGACATGTTTGTGTGTCTGTATGTGTCTAGAGAGAAAATAATTGGGATAGCCTCCTTTAGGTGGTAGTGTTAGGGAAGGCCTCTCTACGGAGATGACATCTTAACTGGTATTTGATAAAAAACCAACCACGCTAAGAAAGAGGGAAAATTCATTCTGAATGGAAAGAAGATACAGAAGCCAAGGCGCTAAGGTGGGCTGGAGCTTGGCATTCCATTCTCATAGGTCAGCATGCCTGTAGCGTGGGGAGCAATGCACAGCTCACACTAAGATGAACGCCAGAGAAAAGACAATACTGAGGACTCTATTCTAAGTGTAATTTTAAATTTTCAGTGCCTTGGAATGGCAGATTTAACTGCCATAAATTTCACTTTCTGATAAATAACAAATACTTCGTTAGTGTAATCTACTTTTTAAATATTGCATGGGGCATACTTACACTAAGAAAAAAATTATATGTGTAATATATACTTACATATTTTATATGCTATTTATATTATATATAATATATATTTATATGTACTATGTATATGTTATTTTATGCATACTTTTTCCCATCCCATCCTGGATGGGTTGCCACTGGTGACTAAATGTGGGAATCCTGTGATCTGATTTCTGTTTATGAAAGATCTGGAGGTTTTGTTTCCTGTCTGGCTACTTTCTGATTCTCAGGAAAAGACAGGAGCCCTCTAGCCAGTTCACAGTGTTTATGACAGATTGATTTCTAGGATTCCCTCCTTTCCCTCCTACTGTTTTCAGATGAGCTTCCTACTAGTAAAAGAAAAACTTCAGACAAGTTTAATTTAACAGAGTTTGACCAAAGAGCAGTTGAATAATCGGGCAGCCCTCAGAATGAGTTACCAAGAACTACATTTGCCAAAGATTCTGAGGATACAAGGATTTCCTTTAGTACATGACCTCTGTTGGTTGCTAGGGTTTCTAGGATTTGAGTCTAGTTTTTTAGGGTTGATTCATGATAGGCAAAGCTGCCCCAGGATACCATCTAGTTCTATTGCTGCTCTGATTCCTGCTAGAATTAATCCTGTTTCTTGTTTATTTCTGGTGTTCTTGGGTCTTATGGGATTATAGGGCAATGGTGGCCATCCTACATTCACCTCTGCTCCAAGTTTTTGATATACAAGGGAAAGCTACTCCTAAAAACAAGTGGCTCCAGGGGTAGTCGAGAGTGGTTATGGATTATGACTTTTTTCCATTAATGGCCAGAAACAAAAATTAGTCCAGTTGGAGTGCAAATAGAGGCACCACAAGATCTGATATTGATCCACTGCTGCCAAATTGGGTCTGTAGAGATATTCCTTCCCTGTTCCAATGGAGATAGCCAATCTTTGTTGTACAGAATGGGTCAGTCCTCCCACCTTCCCAGATTAGGCAGTTGTTTTATTTATTTTTTTTTCCTGTACGTTCTGATCTAAGTCACCATATATGGTTTTCTTGCTCACAAGTAGAATCCTGCATAAATTTTTGCAGTCTCGGAGACTTAGCAGCTTAGAGTTGAATCAAGGCATTGAAGGGAAACTTCCACTTTTGTGTCATTAATACACAGTAGGTGCAAAAGATAGAATCATTAATGTGCTAGAGATATAGATACCCAGCTTTCCAGGTCCAGTTAATTGTGGTTGAGGCTGATGGTTCAGATAGAATCTGTTAAGTGACAGAGAGGTCAGGTGACATGGCACCAGTGGTGGGCATATTTTATGGAAATGTACTTCCACCCTGTCCCTGTTTTAGCTAGTCTCTGATTTGCTCTAGTGTCCAAGCCCCGCCTCCTCAGTCAAATCCTCCCTCCTCCTTGAGTCATGCCTAGGTGTTCACCTTGTTTGGTCACGGTCTGATCAGTTGGCAGCCCATGACTGGCTGAAGCTCAGCTGCAGTAACAAAAAAATCCTCCTAAATTAGGCTTTTAGTGTGTTTAATTGACTAAGTTAGGTTAGGTTGCAGTTCCTTAGGTAGGGACTCAAGTTATAGAGATGAGCTCAAGCTAGATTTAACTTAGTTTAACACTATGCATTTTTTTGAGTCTCAGCCTAAACATGACTCTTACTGAGAAGCCCACCCTTTCCCTACCTCAAAGGCCCCATTAGGTACCCTCCTCTTACGCAGACCAAAAGCCCCCTGCTTCCTTAGTTTAGCAGAGCATTGATGCCCTGTGTTATACTTACTTCTCCTCTGTTGTCCCCTCTAGAATAGGAACCCTCTGAGGACACAAACTGTATCTTTTCCCTTGATTATCTGGCATGTAGCCCAGGACCTGAAACAATGGACAAGCTCCGTGACTGCTGATTGAATGCATGAATTATCAGAGTTCTCTTTAGTGGAATCCCCTGGGCCTTACACCACATTCTCTTCTGAGTCCAATTTCTGGAATATCAATTGCTAAGGGGTGTGTTTATGGAGCACTTCCAGCTCTCAGGTGCTGTGAAAAATCTTGGAGATGCCTGACTCTAGGTCTCTGTCCTCAAGGAGCTCATAAACTAGTTGACAATATGAGATAACCCAGAAAAAGATGGTGAGCAAAGTCATAAAAAATGCAGTGAAGTTTTTGAATAGCTGGTAGAATTAATGAGATGCAGGGATCCTGCACTTGGATTCTGTAGACTGAATGCGGGTATATGAAAGTGCTTGCAGTAGAGGTCCGGGAACAGCCTGAAATTAATGATGATGATGATGGGGTGTGTGTGTGTGTGTGTGTGTGTGTGTGTGTGTGTGTAGTATTTTGTGCACATCCATTCTTTCAGTAAAAAGTCTTGATCAGATTCTCAAATGGGAAGTACCTAACCCTAGGATGTTGGTAACCATCTGCTGCCGTAAGTGCTATAGAACTTCATGATGGACTGAAGATCCAAATATGAAAGGCAAAACGATACACTAAGAGTAGAAAAAATGAGCTTTCTTCACAATTTCTTACCAAGGTAGAAATTCTTGAAATAATAAAGGTAAAATTTAAGGGATTTAATTATGTCATAATTAAAGATTTATGTTCAATGAAAGAAGCTGTAGGAAAAATTAAATTGGAGATATGTATAATAGCTGAAAACTTATATGTATAACAGCAGACAAGAGATTTATACTGAGAATATATCTTTTTACTTCTGCTAATTGGTAAGCAACACTGGTACCTTCCTCTTATGTAGGCCAAAAGCCCCCTACTTCCTTACTTTAGCAAGTATTCCATTTTGAATTCAAAATTTTTAATAGGGAAAAGTTATAAATGGGCAGATTACAGAAAGGGAACTTTGAGTGACTAATATGTGCATTCTTATTAGTATTCAGCAACATGAATATTTAAATAGTAAACTCCATTCTGTAACCATCAAGTTGGCCCAAAACAAAAAGAAAGATCATCATAAGTAGGCCTGGGCAGCGCCTCACGCCTCTAATCCCAGCACTTTGGGAGGCCAAGGTGGGTGGATCACAAGGTCAGGGGTTCAAGACCAGCCTGACCAATATGGTGAAACCCCATCTCTACTAAAAAAAAAAAAATACAAAAATTAGCCGGGCTCAGTGACAGGTGCCTATAATCCCAGCTCCTTAGAAGGCTGAAGCAGGAGAATCGCTTGAACTTGGGCGACAGAGGTTGTAGTGAGCTGTGATTGCACCACCGCACTCTAGCTTGGGAGACAGAGTAAGACTCTGTCTCAAAAAAAAAATTATAAGTATTAGTAAGAATGCATACAAACAGGAATTTTGAGGGTCAATATGGTAAATCATTAGAAACAATCTATTTGCCTGCTGATAAGAGAATGAAGTAATATTATTATTTGTGCTTATTGTAGAATACTTACAGTACTTAGAGAAATTAAAACCTAAATCAGGCCTGTCTGGTGGAAGTATAATATGAAGCACATGTGTAATTTAAAGATCTTTAGTAGCCACACACAAAAAAAAAGTAAAAAGAAAATTTGTTTTTACTTCTTTAAATTAAAAGAATTAGGTGATCATATTAATACTATATTTTACTTAATCTAATATATTGGAAGTATTATTTCATTATATTATCAACAGAAAAAATTACTGATACATGTTTTATGTACCTATTTTGTACTATCTTCAGTATCTGGTATGTGTTTTATAGTCATAGTATGTCTTAAATCAGAGGCTAAATTTTCTGATTTAAGAAAATTATGGATCAGAAATAATTGATCCATATTTAGGGTTCATAAAGTAAACAACTGAAAAAACCAAATTCATATTCTCAAGATATTCCAAAATATTTAAAAGTATTCTCATAATTCAGATATAAGTTTTAAAATTTAAATTAAAAGATTAAAATTACGAATTTAGTTTTCCACTTGCATTAGCCATATTTCAAATGCTCAGTAGCTGCATGTGGCTTGTGGCTCCTGTGTTTGACAGCTCAGATCCAGAGGTACACATACATATTCTGGTGGTTTTCAAAAGCATAATGATGTAAGAATAAATAGAAGAAGAACATGATTTATAGTGAACTACTGTTTAAATAAATTGAGCATAAACAAAGAAACCCACCCCCAGTATTTTATTTTTCACGAAAACATAGATATGCACTGAGGCATATGGAAAATATTTGGGAAGGGTAAGCCTGTGTCTGTAGGGTGAGGTAGCAAGGATCAGGAAAGGCAGATCAGAAGGAGAAACCTAAGTGACATCTTGGAGCGTTCAGGCTGCTGGTGTGCTGTGGGTTAAGAAACTTACCCAACTCATTTCTAGGCACTCAGCATTAAAACAAAAAGCAGTGAGAGTTAACTCTGCTGAAAACTGTTAATATTGGGCTCAATGCAAAATTATGGTTTTACAATCATGTTTTCAAGTACTCCATTTTGAAGTTCCTTCTAAAACAGTAACTGAATGATGCTGGTTACTACCACAGTTAATGTCATCAGAGGGCATCACTGCAAAAAGATCAGAGGACATTTGCCTGAAAGCCTGTCACTCTTCTGATAAACATGGTTTCCAAGTATCACATTCTCAGAACACGTTGAGTGTGGAAAGATCCAAAATGAAGCCTGTACAATGAAGCCCTCATAAAGCAGAGGGAAGCCCTGCAGTTTACCCACTGCTGTTCTGTAGAACATCAATATGCCTGCTGTTATGGGCTGCATTGTGCTTCCCCAGAATTTCATACCCAAGTCCTAACCCACAGTACCTCAGAATGTGACCGCATTTGTAGATAAGGCCTTTGGAAAAATAACGTAAAATGAGGCCATTAGAGTGAGTCCCCATCTGGTCTGGCTGATGTACTTATTCGTGGAGGAGATTAGAACACACAAAGGGACATGGGAAGATGCACACACGGTGAGAGACAGGCCTCACGAGAACCCAAACCTGCCCACACCTGGATCTTGGACTTTCAGTTTCTAGAACTGTAAGAAAAATTTCTGTTACTGAAGTCACTCAATATGTGGTTATGGCAACTCTACTAAACCGATACACCTACATTTTAAAATACATCAGATAGCTTTAGATGCTGAACAACATTAAGAGCAGAAACCTGGAGTCAGATGGGGTTGACCTTAAATCCAGTCTGCACATTACTAGCTCTGGGACTCAGTATGTAGCGGACTGGTTTGTGAAGTGGGGAATAATAATTGTACTTGCCTCATAGGGTTATTGAGGGAGATTAAGTGAATGAATGGAAATAATTATTGCCTAAGGGTTAGTTATTATTCTAATCATTATAATTAGATGTCACATTCTGGTTGTCATATTTTCAGTATTTACATATACCTAGTGCACCTGAGGAACCAGGGTGACCTAGCAGATCAGTTCATGCCAGGTGTGGTTTTAAGAATCATAAAGATAAGACATTAAGGACTGTTGTCTGGTTTCTCTTTTGTTTTCAATGGCTCCTGCTACAAGAGCATGGCTTTGAATTAGCTGCTGGAGTTTTGAAATTGAACATGATTTATCCTGAGTTTTCTTTTAGGAATGGTCAGTGTCCATATGTGTAAATGTCCATATGCATTTGGAAGTACTGAGAGATTAAACTCAGCAGTTACAGGCATGAGAAAGAATAACCACCTCTATAGCATCGCGTGTGACCGCTAACGTCAGAAAGAACCAGCACTGTAACAATGTGGATAGCATTCTGTCGTATCTTAAATTTCTTTTTCCTACTAGAATGCGTTGAGGACGGAATTAGCCCTTACAAACCAGAGGGCAGTACTGCTGTGCACCACTGACTGTTACGTTTTGTGGAACATGTCTGCAATATGCTCACATTTTAAAATTTAACAAATTCCTACCAAAATGTCACTCTTTGCTGTGTGAAAGCAGTCTCTTCAGTGTGCTTGAAGCTGGTTACCTTCACACATCAAGTTTTAGCAGATAAAAGTGGGCACTTCATATTCAATGGATGTGCTGAGAATAGCCCTGTTTATATACTCGATTTCGTAAAATCACATAACCTTTTGTAATACATAAAAGGGACAGTGGGATCAGAGAAAGCTGTTTACATGTCAGATAAACAAGTCAAAAAGTTTCATGGAAATTACTTATGACCTGCGTGGCATCAGAAAGCTTGCGCTGAGTTTTTTACATATTTCTCCAGAATGTCTCTGATTTACAAAAAATGCTATCAATCCCCTTTTAGATACAAAATTTTCTACTATCTGTAAACACTGCTGGCTTTCTTGGTTGATTTCTTGTCTTTCCCATTCTCTCCTCCCTGTTCTGTTTCCCCATATGGAACTGTTTCTCTTTCAGGTGTCCTTTCTCAGGCAGAGACTAGCTCTGTTTGTCTTTTTTATTTTTCCCCCTAAATTTGTGAACAAGTCCTAGTGTCCATGAAAGTGGAGAACTAATGGAATTGCCTGGAGGCAGTCATATATACTTTAGACAGGTGCTGCGCAAACTTCTGCTGTCAGCTCGCCGAGCCCTCTTCAATTCCAGCTTGTAAACACCGATGGCAGCCCAGCCTGCACAGTTGCTGCCAGCTACTGATTATTCCATTGACAGACGCAGCTGGCTTGACCGTGCTTCCTGAATTGATTGGTGTTCCTTAGAAATCCACCTGTTTATTGAACACCCTGTGTTTGCCTAAATTCAACATTTGGTTCTGCAGAATGGTGAAACTGGGCATGTGTGAGATGGTAATTGCTTACAAAAAAGGCCATGGAAATTAGTAAATGAAGCATGTGAAAAGCAGCTTTATTGAATGGTCTGTTGTGTTAAGTACTTTGAATTTACACGTATGGCCCAGTGCCTGCCTAGAATTATTTATATATGAAATATTAGGCAGAAATATAGGATAAATCTATACATACTTCTAGAAACTCAAGCTGATCATTAATGATGGAAGAAAAAGATTTTAGAAGGGGATAGAGTTTGATTGTAACCAAAAATTAGAGTTGGCTGTAGAAATATACAGAATCTCCACCCTAACCCTCCTTCCTGGGCTCCAGATACATAGAGCAAACTACTGCTGGTGATCTCTAGTTAGATGAACCTCACCATGCCTTTCTAAGACTGCGCTCCTCCAGGTGTTCCTCCTTATCCATTCTCCATTTCAGTTGATCCAGAGACTTGGAAATCACCCACGATCTCCCTGTTTCTCATCCTCACATTCAAATTTTTTTCAGTTCTGGCTCCTAAATATTTTTCAAATCAATCCATTTGCTTCCATCCTGGAGGCACATGTCTTCTCTGGAGGGAGAATGGAAGGGAGGGAGGGATGGAGGGAGAGAGGGAAGAGGAGAGAGCTCTTTTACTTTCTTTTAAATTTTATTTGTAATAAAAAATACCAAAACACATAAAATGTACCATCTGATAATGTTTGACTGTGTCCCCACCCAAATCTCATCTTGAATTCCCACCTGGGAGGGAATTGAATCATCGGGGCAGGTCTTTCCTGTGCTGTTCTCATGATGGTGGGTGAGTCTCACAAGATCCGATGGTTTTATAATGGGGAGTTTCCCTTCACAATCTCTCTCTTTGCCTGCTGCCATTCACATAAGATGTGACTTGCTTCTCCTTGCCTTCTGCCATGATTATGAGGCCACCCCAGCCATGTGGGACTATAAGTCCATTAAACCTCTTTCTTTTGTAAATTGCCCAGTCTAGGGTATACCTTTAAAGAATTATCATGGGTTTAATGTCCCAAAGAATTGACAGAAGCAGACTGGCCACTTCCATACTACTTAGGTGATTTTCATGATTTTAGGGTTTTACTTGGCTGTAAAATTTCCTCTGGGCTGCAAAACCACACAGTAATCTGTTTGGGAATGAACTCTTTAGCAGAAGTCAAAGGCAGAAAAATCAGTGTAGCTGGGTTTGGCTTGTAACAGTTAAAAGAGAAATGGAAAGTATTGGATTTTGGATAAGTACTTTTGCTTCACAGTTTTAGGGTTGAGTAGATGTTAAAATATCACTCACCACATTAGCCTGTCGTTTGGGTTATTCTGTTTTATTATTTTGAAAACATAAAGCCAACCAAGTAATTAAGTGGGCTGCACACTGTCTGACGTTTCATATAAAGAAACATTAGACTCTTCAGCACATCAAATACTAATCAGTTCAGTCAGACTTTTTTTTGTTTAATATGTTATGTCACTGATAGAGACATGAGGAAAAGCCACGAGTATCTAATCAATGGGAGGTTTATTGCATTAGTCATGGATTTTGGAGGGATAAAACATATTTTATACATATATAACGTGCACAGAATATGTGCACACATATGATGCTGGGCAGTTGTCAAAAATGCTCAGGTTCAAAAGGTTAAAAGAGATCCTATTGTGTAAGGCTCAAGATCTCGGGTTGACTTTCTAGATACTTTGAGTTCAGATTTCGCCTTTACTCTGGATTAGCTTGTAGCTTTAGCAAGATACATAATCTCTCCGTCTGTAAAATGGAGCTAGTAATATCAATCTCACCTTGTGACAATGGCATAACATTATCATGGTAAGTGACTGGCATGGAACTAGAAAAAAAGTAGGTGTTGTAGAAAGTAGGAGGTATTGTTACTATCTCCAACCAGGCAAGAAAAATAGTTTGTCATCGTTATTGGTTCACAAGGAGTTATATTAAAAGAATTATCATGGGTTTAATGTCCTTCCCTCACAGTCCTCAGAAGAAACCAACTCCGCTGACACGTTGGTTTAGGCCTCTGTCCTCAGAACTGTGGGATTGTACGTGTCTGTTCTGTAAGCCACGCAGTATGGGCTACTTTGTTAAGTTCATCCTAGCAAACTAATACAGTCCTACAGAGGAAATATTGACGGTCGGACTGTGGAGGAAAGAAACAAGTAAGATACTTGAGGTTACATTTTCCATTCAGAATGCTATTTCAGTGTAGGTATATTTGTAGTGTGCTTTTTCCAAGCTCAGAAACTGAGAACAGGGAGCTGCTTCTGATGAATTTCTAATGCCTTTTCCTGGGGGATTGATTGAACACAAAGAGCTCAGAGCTATCTTCCAGCCATCTGCAAGAGATGTGTTTTTGTACACCTTTGGTAACATCTAAGTAGGTTGGCACAAAAGGGCCTTCCTCTGAGAGGGTTCTGTGGAAAGGTGGCCGTGATTGCACAAGCATGTAAACAGGGAGTATTATTTTTTTATTGCATATTTCTTTAAAATGTGGATATTTTCCAAAAAGCTAAACAAAATATATCTCAGAAATGAGAATAAGAATTTGGAAGGATAAAATGAGTTATTCATGAAAACATGATTTTTTCAATAGATTTTTGGTAATAATGGATAAGCTTCCATATTTCTCTATCTGCCCTTCTCTTGACCTTTGTCCCAAAACAAATGTGGTGTGGAAAGATTGAAAGAAACAATTTCAGGTAATGACAGAAAACAACAGAAATCCAAGTTTCTTTTGTGGGTGTCCTGAGTGGTCTCGGGTGGCATCTTCTCCCTGCGGGGCTGTGTGAACATTTCTTCTTCTTACTTGCTTGTATCTTCCCTGAGTTCACAGAAGTGGGGTCCCACAGACTTAATTAAGATGCCACCATTAATAAAGACCGTACATAGCAGGCAAGTTCTGATCCTCTGCTCCTTGCTTTCTCCACTAGCCTAACGGTAAACATGTGTGTGGCTAATTAACTTAGTGTTTCTTCCAAAGGCTTGATTCCATCCTTGGTGGTAATTACTATTCAGGGCATTGCTATACTTTGACATTTTCCTGAATTATAAATTATTGGTGTCTGAAAGAAGTCACTGACTCAAGAGAAAAACATAGAAGACAAGCTAGAAGGAGAATGAAAGTAATTCTGAGTTGGTTTCCTCTCCTCCAGAGGTCATTATGAAGGCGGCAAATGCTCCCGGGACACATTGGGAATGCCCCGTGTACAAGTGAGACTCTGGGGAACAGTCAGATCTGCAGGTCTCCTTCCATAGGGTCATGCCAGGATCATAGGGTAGGTTGCTAATAGGGTGGCTTCAGGTTTGGAGGTGGGAGTTGTAAAAATATTTCATGCACAGGTACTTCTTGTTTTATGACTTAATTTTAAATGCATCAGTAGCTTTTTATTTAGAAAAGTCCTTCAGAGATGTGTTTTAGATACGTATTTGACACCTGTGGTTTGTCTCCTTGGCAAACCCCACTTTCTAGCTTTTAGGGGAGCAATGGGTTTGCTATTGTGAGCTCCTAATACATTTTGAGGCCCCAGGATAGTTTACCCCCACCTAGAATTGGCTTCAAGAAGTACAGCTCAGCCGCCCAATGTTAATTAAAAGGAAATCCAGTCTTGAATCTCTCAAAGAAACAGGAAGCAATTCATTCCCCTCAGCAATATTTCTCCCTTTTCTTGTTGGTGCCCTGGAGTCGCCCCAGGACCGTGTAGAGGCCAGCTCCTCAGTCCCTCCTTCTAGTTCTTATCTGGTCCAGCTTTTCGTCCTGTTTGTTTCCTCTCCCCAGTCCTAAATCTTTATGATACAGACTTAGCCTCTGTGGTTCTCTTTAAGCCCCCTGAACCAGTTTCACAGATTTTGAAGCATAAGAGAGCCAGAACCAGGATTGGGAGAAGGAAATAGAGAGAAGGTAAGTGTGAGGAGGATGGGGAGATTCACAAATGAATGAATTATGACTCTGTTTCACCCCCTACTAATTATCACTGAGTTATAGTATGATGAAAGTAAGGTCAAGAAAGAAGGAAATTATCATTGATTAGGTGACACCAACTTTTTGGATGCTATCTTCATTAGACATGTTTATGTGTGTCATCTTTATAGGCAACTGACAGTTAACAAACATTTGTACCTATAAGATAAACATTTGTTAATCATCAGTCACCTATAAGATAAACATTTGTTTGGTGATCTATTACTGAGGGATTTTTGCTCATTATTGTATTTCCATGATATTGTACCTGGCATATATTTGGTTCTCCATAAATATTTATATGACATATAAACAATATTGGATCAGTGACTATTCAGTGCAAATTTGTGAACTCTTATAATTTCTCCCATTTCACAGATGAGGACGTTTAGACTCTGACAAGTTAAATACTTTACTAAAGTTAAGACTTCTCAGCAGTGACAGCGTTAATGTTTTCAACTCAATATATTTGGTTCTAATATCTTCAACTGGGCTGCAGTGCCTGAGCTACCGTCTTCTACCATCGCCTTCCGAGTGGAAGAGTACTGAATTCGCCATGTGAACATTTTATAGGACTATTTTTTGCTTTTGCTGTTACTACATTATTTCTATGATAACCATATAGAAAAATAAGACAAATTGAAAATGAGGTATTTAGTGCAACTTTTTACATACAATATTATTGATAATCCAGCTCTCAATTATCTGTACCTTAATTAGCTGCTGTTTTGATGATCTGCATTCTCCAAGGACTCTCCGCCTGTCCCTAGGCTGTCTTCCCCGCAGCAGTATTTTCCCATCACCTAGCTTTGTTGAAGTTTGAGGCATTAGATATCATCCCAGCTACTAGCTTTTAAACTTTTTATGTTTGGTTACTCAGTGACAATCTTTGGGCAAGCATGATCTCATGCCAGAGCCCCATGTATGAAACAAATAGAAGCAGAGCTGCTCAGATGACGGGAGAAAGGTGCTCAGAATCTGCTGGCCCGTCCTGCCTTCCAGCTTCTCAGAGTGCCTAAGACTTCTCAGGACAGAGAAATCTTTCACATCCACTGACCTAGATGAATTCTCTTAATTTTATGATCCAGTGAACCAGATATAGAAAGGCTAATTCTCACAGAATTATTAGTGACTCTGAAAGGTTGAGACGTCAGGCTAGGGCATTGTGACCATAGCGAATATATCCACGTGTAGGATGCTGCATTGAGAATTGCCTGAGGTTGTATAACCAGTTAGAGCTCCGCACCTCCTCTCTCAAACAGCCTGAGGTGTGCCTTTCACCTAAACACTTCACTAAATCAGTGTGAAACCCTGGATAAGAACCACTATCCTAGGGCATCATTTACAAAGAACATGATTTAAAGTTTTGCAGCATTCATGTAAAAGGACTTGCAGGTAGGTTGAGAGAATATCCCAGTATTTGCCCACATTTAAAAGCTGTTTGAGGCAGCAGAAGTTACTCTGTATTTTCTTTCTTTCTTTTTTTTGAGGTGGAGTTTCGCTGCTGTTACCCAGGCTGGAGTGCAGTGGCGCGATTTCAGCTCACGTCAACCTCCGCCTCCTGGGTTCAGGCAATTCTCCCGCCTCAGCCTCCTGAGTAGCTGGGATTACAGGTGCGCGCCACCATGCCCAGCTAATTTTTTTGTATTTTTAGTAGAGACGGGGTTTCACCATGTTGAACAGGATAGTCTTGATCTCTTGACCTCGTGATCCACCCGCCTCAGCCTCCCAAAGTGCTGGGATTACAGGCGTGAGCCACCGCGCCTGGCCCTGTATTTTCTTAAAGTAGAGTTTTCCAAGCTATTTTTGGAAATGATCTTTAGTTTTCAGCTCACTTGGCACAATTGACCCCTCCCTTCTTCTGGAAATGTACTTTTTTTTCTGACTTTCCAGATACCTACCCCTTGTGTTTTTCTCTTTCCTGGAAAGTCCTTGTCAATTTCCTTTGTAGGCAGCTTCTCCTCAGAGGACACTACAAAAATGTAGGAATTCCACCTGGCTCCGTTTTAGTTTCCCTTCTCTTCCTACAGCTTATCCAGAGAATGTCATATATGTACTGTGGCCACCAGAGAACTGGCTGAATGTTAGAGTATATGGACTTATTCTGGCAGAGATTTTTGTCTCCCTTGCCCATTACTGTGTCTCTAGCACCCAACATGTTATTAGCTCACAATAGATACCTCATAAGTATTTTTCAAATGAATAGTCTCCTCTGAACTGATTCAGTTTTGAACGTTTTTTTATTTTCAACTTAAGGTGTGTTCTAGCAAAATTCCAAAGGGAAGCCAATGCCCCCCGGAAGAAACTAGCAAGCACCTCTCTGTACAGATATTGCCAGGGCTACTTGTTCAAAGAGAAGCACTGTGCCTTTGTTAAAGTCATTGGTACTCCAGAGAAGGTAATAAAATGCTTGAATTACAATTGGTGTTTAGGTTTTACAGAAATACTCTTCATCCTAGGGCTAGGCAAGTTAAAGTACTCTAAGATTGAGTCTGTAATCAAGTCATGGAATGTTAACAAATGTTTGTTCTTCCCAATTACATTTGCCAATCTGAAGAAGATATTCAAAGTTGGCTATTTTTCTTTCTTTACAGATAATACTGCTCATTACTTTTCTGAATATAAGTAACCCATGTGGCTAAGCATTAGTAGAGCAGCTTCCTTAGAAATGTGGCAATATCATAATATGTTCTATCCTACATGTTCTTTTTATGGTGCGACATTGATACTTGTGTCATCAAAAGGTGAAGGATGTGTTTCCTCTACTTGCATCTGGGTGGACCTTTGTAAACGCTTTGACCAATGTAACAGAAATAAGGCTGAATGAGTGTTAAGACTAGGTCCTTCAAGGAACTTTGGCTTTTCTTGGTTTTCTTTCTTTCTTGAGATAGATGTCTTGGGAACCTCAAGGCAATATGTGATAAGTCTGGCTACCCCTGAAGCCACCATGCTGGAGAGAGCACTTGGGAACACCTTGAAGGTCCAGAGAGGGATGCCCCTAACTACTCAAGTCCCAGGTTAGATTTCAGTCATATTTATAGAAGCCATTGAGATGACCCTAGTCTCAGCCATGGTGTGATTGCAGTACCATCAAAGTTCAGAGCCAGACCTCCTGACTGAGATGATCCAAAACTCCTGACCCTTGCCCCACAGAAACCATAAGAGGCAGTACATAATGACTGTTATTTAAGCCACTTCGTTTTAGGTTAGTTGTTTTACACAGCATTAGATAACTGGAACTGTAGGCATTGTATGTGTCTTATTTTTTGTATAGAAATTTGATCGTTGTTCAGTTTTGGCTTTGTGATCTTTGTTTCACACCGTGGTAGCAGTTTCTCAATGAATGTTAATTTTCTTTTCATGTTGCTTTCTTCTGCTCTATTGCAACATTCTGATATAAATTCTTTATCAGTAGCAAGCAACTTTTTCAGCTTAAAAATGTATCCCTTTCATTTGTCACCAAAATTTCTCCCTTAGGAATAGTTCGAGCAGCATTCCAGGTGTTTAATGTTTTGCGCCTTAATGAAGGCACAACTCATGAAAACAACTATTGAACTATCAAGCGTTTCATGCATATTGAGACAGTATTAAAATTGAAGAGAAATGTACAAGCAACTGTCTACAGTTATATCTGAAAATATTATTTAAAAGCACTTCTTTTATTTTGACAAATTTTCAGAGAATGTTTAGTTTTGAGGTAGGTGTTACGAGATTCTTAGATAAAATATATAATGTTATTCATAATATAGTAGGCTTGGCAGATTTCATATGAATTATAGCAGTGGTTAACATTTGTAAATAGTCACATTTTATTCCCACTATAGTCTACTGAATCATGTAAGAAGGATTTGATTCAGATCAATAACTATAGCACATAAAATAATAAACCCTTTCAAAAATGTAAGAGTATAAATTATGTGTGCATGTGGCAGTGGTTAAGAAACTGAACATAAAATTTTAAAAATATAGCTTGAAAACCTAATAATCTATCAGCTATTAAAATAGAAAATAGGCAAGAAGTCATTACTCTGAAATTTAATAACATTGGAAAGTGTTTGAGTGTTTATTTTTTCCCAGTATAGAAGTAGCTCTGAGTACAAATTTAAATACTTACTTGGTTTTGGGCTGGGCGTGGTGACTCATGCGTGTGTGATCCCAGCACTTTGGGAGGCCAAGGGTGGTGGATCACCTAAGGTCAGGAGTTCGAAACCAGCCTGGCCAACATGGCGAAACCCCGTCATCTCTACTAAAAATACAAAAATTAGCCAGACATGGTGGTGTGCACTTGTAATCCCAGCTACTCAGGAGGCTGAGGCATGAGAATCACTTGAACCAGGAGGTGGAGGTTGCAGTGAGCTGAGATTGTGCCACTGCACTCCAGCCTGGACTATAGAGCAAGACTGTGTCCAAAAAAAAAAAAAAAAGAAAAGACTTACTTGGTTTTAATTAAACTGAATGGGTTAAGTGGCCACCATCTGGATTGTTTATCAACTCTGGTGAGATTTCCTAGTGTCTATTTGGCAGTATGAAAAAAAAAATTTTTAAGCATTATGTATGTATTTTCTACCTCGTTTTAGAAAGGGTTCGCCTCAGACTACACAAATACGAAGAGTGCACTATAAAATGAAAATAATTGGATGAGCTAAATGGAGCAAAATAATAATAAGAATAAATTCAAGAATGAGGTTAAAACTTCCATGTTGTTAGCTCTCGTTAATGGTATTTTAATGATGGATTGTGACAAGGTGACATTGGTCTGCTGATATTTGCCAGAACTGTCCAAGATTTAGCACACACTTCTCTTTTTCTTCCTTCTTCTCATAATGGAAACAAATCTTTCACTAGAGGCAATTTCTTCCAGTGCTGGGCCAAGAAGGGGAAGTAGGGGTGAAGACTACATTGGTATTTCCTAATGATTGTGACTGTATTAAACAGCTTATAAGCTTTAAATTAATGGAGATTTTATTGGGGAAAATAAAAACCAGTTTTAAGATATGACCAATGTGTCTCTACATTGAGGAAGGAGAAAAAAAAAACAAACCTTTTGACTGGGCAGTTTCTTCTCTTCTATTTAGAATTCTCTCTTTGTATGCACTCTGAATACAGCTATATAAAGGAAATGGATGCCCTTTGAACAGGACCGGGAGGAAATGAAATGAAAACATTTGTTAGTTTAGGGTGGCAGGACTATGGGCTCATTTTTATTTCATCTTTATGATTATTTTAATGGTGTTTTAAGTATCTTTATGATATAAATAAGAAGAAAAAATAAAAAAGTTTTATTGCTTATCGAGTATTGCTAGCCTCCAGGGTATTTGAAGTCTTTGGAGATGAAACTCTCATTATGCAGACAGCCTTGTGCAATCATTCAGACAATATTTATCTAGCAAGGCATTATGGGAAACACAGAATTCCAATAGAGACACGGTTCTCAGAGACTCATTAGCACCTTATGAGGTGAAAGAACATGCTGTGTATATTAACCACATCAACAGTTTCCTTTTAGCAGGAAGGGCCATGCTTGTCTTTTAGGAGGAGGTGGACTCTAACTTAGATCTGGAAATATTTTAAGATTTGGGACACATGGAGATAGGGAGTCACTGATGGTACTGACCAAATATTTTTAGTTCTTCTTAGTTCCAGATATATGGTAGCATTTTGCTTCTTGTGGTTTGGAGGAGCCACATGACTAGTTATGTCAGTGAATTGTATCACTTTGGACTAAGCACCTAACTTGGTGTAACACCCTGCAGTTTTCTCTTCCCCTTGGCTTGGTTCCTAACAGTGTTTAAGCTGGTGTTACTGTCTTACCCTGGATATCGGAGTTGCAAAGATGGACAGACCTGATCTACTAGCCCATCGTGGACAAAGAGCAGGCAAGAAGTAGACCTTTTCTGTTACAAGTTTCTGAAATGTTGGGGCTCTTTGTGATCCTAGCAACAACTAGCTTAATCTATTGACAGAAAGTAACAAGATATTTAGAGTGAAAACAATATTAACGAAGACAAATGAGGAAATACGTAGCAAAAAGTTAATTATGGTTGAAACCTTGGAGTCTTGGCGAGAATAGTGAAAAACAAAATTGGAAGGAGAGTTGGGACCCTAGCAAGCCTGGACTTTGGGCTAATGGTGAAAAGAAAATAATCCATTGAGGTGTGGCTGACCCTCGTCCTTTAATTCATTGCAGAATTCCATGTTCTACCCCTAAACTGAAAGTTTGCAAAACTTATATTTAAGGGAGGGACCTCCCTATAAAATTTTGAGCAGTATAAAAAAATTTTTTTGGCCAGGCATGGTGGCTCACGCATTTTGGGAAGCCAAGGCGGGTAGATCAAATGAGGTCAGGAGTTCGAAACCAGCTTTTCCTACAAAGTGAAACCCATCTCCACTAAAAA